AAGCGCTCTAGACAGTGGCGGTAAGCGAATCTCTTGCTAATTAGTGCATAGCATAGGCATCCGCAGTCTATAAGCGCGACAGCGTTTGCTACGTTATTCACGATAAGATCTACGGTGATTGGTGGGGGACGCATATGCTTCTGCTAAAACTAATTCCATTCGCTACGTGTCTGCCGATCCATCTTCAGAGGCTCTGGGCCGAGACTCTGGCCCAGAGCTACTCTTTTTTCCGAGTCGCTATCGTCTAGGCATTCGATCTGTTTCTAGCGTCTCTGCCCTTCGCTTAGGGGAACGGCTCTCTTAACCCGAGTGGTGTTTAGACAGTTTCTAGCGATGTGGCCTAGTTCGCCGCAGCTGTAGCAGTCTAGTAGGGACCGCCTTAGTCTATCCTTCGTTTCCCGTGCCCGATTGGCCTTCGAGGGCTCCCAGTCCATCGCTTCTGGACTAGCATCTCGCTGAGCGACCTTCGGGGGAGCTTGCGCATGACTGTAGGCCGCGTTCCTTCAATTCCTCCCGTGCAACTAGATCTGGTATAGGTCATTGGAAAGCTCGATTGCCTTGTCTATATATTCCTTCAGACTTCCGTTCTTTAGAGTATAGAGCATCAGCTTTTAGAGCTCTTCTCCAAGTCCCTCACTAAACATCTCGCAAGCTACTGCTAGGCTAAACTGCTGTTAGGACTCTACGCGAAGCTGGTTGAACTCCGAGACATAGTCGCGTATTGGTCGTCGTCCTTGCTTTAAGTGCTAAAGCTTGTTTAGCGCACGCTGCTGCTAGTGCACGTCTTAGAAGTGAGTATCCATGTGCTCCCATAGGCCGGCCGTAGTTCGTTCCTTATTCTCAAGCACCTAGGGAAGAAGGACCTGGTTTGCTTTGCCCTTTGTTCGACTGAGCACGTATTAGACCTTTGCGTCCTCCATTAGGAACATGGCGTAGTTGTACTCTAGCTTCCCTTCGCACTTAAATTTCCAACCTAGGTAGTTATCACGTGTCCCATTAAAACGCTCTAGGTTAGGAAACTTATTCTTGCGGGCTGCTGGCTTGGCGACTGTTGTTAGCGGTGGTGGAGGAGTGTCGACTCTTGGGGATGACTCCGAACGTCCTTCGGCTTGGTTCCTCTCAAGTGCCTCTAGGCGACTAGCTATTGGGCTGAGCAGCTGCATCATCTGCTCCATTACTTGGGCCACGGCGTTCTGATTAGCTTTCGGTGAGCCCTCCTGCCTTGGTGAGCCCTTCCCCCCTACGACTAATGATCGCTTAACGACTGCTTCGATCGTTGGCCCAATCGCTGCTTCCTTCCATCCGTCCTCTCTCAGCATCTGCGTGATCTCACGCAGGATCTCTTCGTCCGGGACTCCTGCCTGGCTCTTAGTGGTGCGTA